ACCCCTCCTCGGCCACCCCCGCCTCCTCCCACGCCAAGCCCGTCGTGGTGGACCCCAACGCCCCCCTGCCCCAGCACCAGCGCCCCAGCCCCCCCTCTTCTTCACCCAACGGGGAGACCGCGGGGGTTCGGGCGGAGGATCCCCCCTCCCCGCGCGATCCTCTCGGCTTCGTCAAGGAGGGCTCCATCGGGCGCTACGTCCACCACCCCGACGCGGGCTTCGCGCCGACGCCGCCGGCGAACGTCCGCCGCGCCACCCTCCGGGATATCCCCACCTTTTATAGCAAAAAGGAATCGAAAGGGATGCTCGATACGCTGCCGGAGGACGAGCTCGAGAGGCTCCACGAGATCTTGGAGAAAAACGGCGTTGGAAAGCTAGTCCATAAGCCGCAGTTTGGCGATCTCAGCGTTAAGGTCTTTAAGGTTCCCCTATGGTACAAAGACGCGCTGTTTAAGGCGAATTGTATCTTTGTTAACGCGCCCGTGACCTCGGAATCGCTCACGCATGCGCAAGTGAATCGGTTTTACTATGAAAAGATGGGCACACTAACCACTAGTAGACGTCTGTATGAGTTGATTAGCGGTGGGTTGGAGCGGGAGGAGGATCACTTGACTATAGAGGACCTGAAGGAGATGGTGAAATGCTTGATTTCCTCCCATCCAAGCTTAGAGTTCCTCCAACAGCCTGAATTCCAGGAGTACTATTGTCGTACTGTCGCCATTCGCATCATGTACGCCCTTGAGCGGCAGCAGTGCCGGAAGGTTTACTGGAGAGATTTCGACCGAAGCGACCTTCCAGAGGTGATGATGAAACTAGATAGCAAAGATGTCAACCAAGTTTTAGAATACTTTTCTTACGAACATTTTTATGTTTTGTATTGTAAGTTTTGGGAGCTCGATACCGATCGTGATTTATTTATTGACTACAGCGATCTCTGTAACTACAGCCAAGGGTCCATCGTGCCGACTGTCATTATGCGAGTGGTAGAGGGCTATGGACGTCCACTAACTTCGACCGTACCAGGTCATTTGGATTTTGAAGATTTTGTCTACTTTTGCTTATCCGAGGAGGACAAAAACTCAGAACCTGCGGTTTACTACTGGTTCAAAATCCTAGACGTGGATGGTGATGGCATCCTTAGCGGACACGAGCTTTGTCAGTTTTACAAGGAGAACCAACAGCGCTTTTTAGAATATTCCGAATCCCCGGACGGCGATATCGCGTACGAGGATTCTATGTGTCAAATGTTGGATATGCTAGGATTTGACCGTGTTAAATCGCGGCGATACGGCCTTACTTTAGGGGACCTGCGAGCCTGCCCAACGCCGTCAAACTTCTTTAATATGATCTTTAACGCCCCGAAGTTTTTGTTGTTCGAACATCGCGATCCCTTCGCGGAGCATCAGCAAAAGCTGAAAGTAGAAAAGACCGATTGGGATCGTTTTGCAAGAGCAGAATACGATCGTATGGCGGCGGAGGCACAGTAACCTCTTGACCGTCCGTTAGAACTCCTATAATTCCAACTCCCCCCCCCCCCCCTCATTTCTGGATAAGCGAGCAAAAGAGGGATAGGTCACCAACCCTAGCAATGCCACCGAGAACCTAAATGCTTCTCTCACCTTCTCCACCTCTTTCATAAGGAATGGTAATGCGAAGCTTACTAGCAAGAGAATCTGGAAACTAAACCAATATTTTCTATTGTTGAGCGGAGATTCCGTGGTAAAAAAAATAGGACATATTCCTATTTTAGAGAAAAAAATTGTTTATTACGTATATTACTCTGATGTAAGCTGTTTGCCGTTGAGTTATTCCTTTTGGGTTGAGTGTGATGCGTCACTTGCTGTGATAGTTCAAAGTATAGACAATTGCGCATGCATATAGTTCTTCTGTAGGATAAAAGCTCTCTATTAGAATTTGTTTTGTTTCTATTGTAGCAAGGAATACTTGTATCTCTTTATTTTTCGACTTCTCAAGCCGTGTAGTTTAGTTAGTGGTGCTCTCAGTCATTTTTATAATGATGACGATAAACTTACATATTATATCTACGAAGCATCGTCAAACGTTATTGTTTACCTTTTTACTTCCTTGAATCAAGCGACAATTCAAACAGACCAGAACAATAACGGTAAATCATTTAATTCACCAAATAAACTCGCGACGAAAGCAAACCATCGTGTCACCATGTCAATTGAAAGTGGAATTTCATTCGAAACCTAACTTTTTTTTCTCTATCTTCTTATATCTTCATACTGCCTGAAGTGTCTTAATTTTGTAGCATATATAAATAAAAATATTTATATCTATTTATTTATTAAAACACCTTTTTTTATAATAATTTTTGCCTACATCGTCTTCGACGTTTAGCAAAATCAGATTTAAAGGATACACATAAGCATAAGTATTTCTAATATGCTCCAACGAAAACATCACAAACTGGATTCTTTAGAGCTCAAGGCTCTTTCAGTCTCATCATCACTACGCTTTTTACTTGGTGTTGAGTGCCAGGTGGTGCTTTGCATAACTAAAATGGGCAGTCGACATCCATTTTCTCTTTATTTTCCCAGATTTTCTGAGACCTTTCGAAAGCTCCTGAGCTTCTGCGCGTCGCGCTTCCAACTCACATGTGAACATCTTAAAGGGGATAGTGGTTCTGTTTTAAAAGGAAAGGCTGTAATTCCGCTTCTTCGTTATGCAGACTATCTACCTGGGGCACTTCATGTTGACGAAATATTAGCCTGTTTGTCGCTTGTGCCTACCATTAGAGATAGACATTCATATAACACTCTATCAAAGAGTGATAAAAATGGTACCCCTGGTAGCGAGGCCCTTTTGTATGAACTCGAGGCGTGTTTTGATGACTACAAAGAGTTCACGGTGGATCTCTCCCTCAGCGATGTTCAAGGGCGTGGACTTTATCTAACGTTGGAGTATGGGCTTGGCATGGCGACTCATAGCCACCTTGTAGAGCTTACGTTTCATGCCGATCAACCCTATCAAAAGGTTCTTCAAGAATTTCAGGAATTCAGTGGCTGGACTAAGTTCGACCTAAGGTTTTATGACGACCAGTTCAAGTCAGAAGGAGGTATTATTGTGATGCCTACCGTCCAAGATGCATGTGACCTTTTGGAAAAGTACGAGGACGAAGAATCCGATGACGATTGCGACCTACTTATGTTCACCTTGCGCCCGGTCGCGCCGTTGGTTCCCGTCCCATGCGTCGAGGACTCCGTCCTCTGCCGACAGCGGAAGGAGCACTGGGATGATATCGTAGACTTCTGGGAGCGTTTCCCTAAAAACAAGAACACCGTGGTGATTTACAACCTGTATGGTGGTGCCATGATTGCGGAGATCCTGGCCTTTTTGGCGCACCTCCCTATCGAGGAGGCGACCATGGTTGAGGACGACTCCCCTTCCCGTCGCCGGCGCCTTTTCGTCACCTTCCTGACTTCCCACGCGACGATGCAGGCGCTCGAGCTGGACGGGAAAAGCACGAAAGGCCGCGCGCTGCGCGTCCAAGTCGCGCCGCCGTACATCTCTAAAGACCGCCGCGGGGTGGTTGTGGAGGGCCCGTTGACGGGGGCCGCGCTGAAGCCGGAGGCGGGCAACTCCGTGGAGACCGCGATCCCGAGCAGCGGGCGAAAGCGAGGGCAAACCCCCCCAACCCCCGCCCTGTCCACGACCCCACCGCCCGCCGCGTGTCAGGAGGAGGGCAAAAAAGGCGAACCCGCGGCTTCGATCGCGAAGATGGCCACGCCGAAAAGCTACCCTCATCCTCCGCTCCATCCCGAACCCGAGACGACCCCCGCGGCCCCTGCGAAAGGACCCTTCGTCAAGGCCCCCCTCCCCCCCCCCCTTGAAGACCCCGGCAGGGGGAAGCCCCTCTCTCGACCTCCCACCCCCGACGCTGTGCAAGCTGAGGTCCACTATAGCGGCTGCAACCTCCCCCTCCACGAAAGGGAACCCCACCGGGGGTGGTTGTCACACCGGGAATGGCAACGCCATCGGGACACCCAGTGGGAATGGGAAGGCCGTGTCTGAGGCCGCGACCGCGACCGCGACTCCGGCGGGCCTCGCGCCCTCTGTGATGAACGCTGATGCGAAGGAGTTTAAGCCGCAGTTCGTGCTGAACCCGAACTCGCCGGAGTACCACGCGGCGACACCGATGCTGCCTGTCTACACACCGCTTGAGAAGGGCAGCGGAGGG